TTTTTTGTATTTCTAGTAGAGACAGGGTTTCTTCATGTTGGTCAAGCTGATATCAAACTCCTGACCTTAGGTGATCCACCCACCTTGGCCTCCCAAAGTGCAGGATTACAGGTGTGAGCGACCACGCCCGGCCCCTCTTTGTTTCTTCCCACGTTCTGCAGTGGGCTGTGCTGCCCAAGGATCTGATTTTCTTTCTTTCTTTCTCTCTCCCTCTCTCTCTCTCTCCCTCCCTCCCTTTCTTTCTTTTTATTTTATTTTGCTTGAGGCAGAGTCTCTGGCGCAGGCTGGAGTGCAGTGGCACCATCTCAGCTCACTGCAACCTCTACCTCCTGGGTTCAAGGGATTCTCGTGTGCCTCAGCCTCCTGAGTAGCTGGAACTGCAAGCATGCACCACCATGCTGGCTCATTTTTTGTATTTTTAGTAGAGACGGGGTTTCACCATGTTGGCCAGGCTGGTCTTGAACTCCTGACCTCAAGCGATCCATCCACCTGGGCCTCCCAAAGTGCTGGGATTATAGGCTTGAGCCACCCAACACCTCCCTTCCTCCCTTCCTTCCTTCCTTTTTTTTTTTAATTATTTTTTTAAAAACTCGTGTCATCCTTGCGCAGGGGCCATGCTAATCTTCTCTGTATCATTCCAATTTTAGTATCTGTGCTGCCAAAGGGAGTACCCTTCCTTCCTTTTTTTTGTAGCGACAGGGTCTCACTATGTTGCCCAGGCTGTTCTGGAACAGTCCTCTCGCCTCGGCCTCCCAAAGTGCTGTGATTACAAGCATGACCGCTGCACCCAGCCTGCCAAATGATTTTGCTCAACTATAGGCTGATGTCAGTGTTCTGAACACATTTAGGGCAGGCAAGGCTAAGTGACGACAGCTGGTAGGTTAGGTATATTGAATGCATTTTCCACTTAAGATATATATTTTTTTGAGATGGAGTCTCACTCTGTTGCCCAGGCTGGAGTGCAATGGCACAATCGCGGCTCACTGCAACCTCCACCTCTTAGATTCAAGCAATTCTTCTGCCTCAGCCTCCCGAGTAGCTGGGATCACAGGCACCCGCCATCACACCAGGCTCATTTTTTGTATTTTTTTTTTTTTTTTT